TGGCAGCACAGCCCTCCGGAGTGTCGGCCACTCCACCCAGCTTGGTGTCATCCGCAAACTTGCTCAGGGTGCATTCCGTGCCCTCGTCCAGGTCAAAGGCAGACACACTGAAGAAATAATGATTGAAGGAATCTGGTAGAGCATATTATGCCTGTAAAACACTGTTCACCTGTAATTCATTATCCTCTTCTTTCTTTTTTATCCATGTTTTCCCTTGAGTTTGTGGGTCGACCAATAGYGGGTATCTAGTTGCCTTAGTGACAATGATACCATTCTGAATTGAGAGATCATCTCCAGGCAGTCCTTGAAGATTCCACTCACTAATCTGAAGGGRAAAAAAAGGAAGTGATTGAGAATAAAGATACTCATTAAAGTAAATATACTTCAATTAAGATTGTTGTAAGAAACAGTAGAGACACGATACGAGAAGGGGTGCATATCTGAAGCTGCTGAAAAACCATAAGTTAACACTGAAGGAAGATATTTGGAGGCTTTAACATTTAAGGATGTTTTTCATTCAATAGAATGAGAGAAATGTCCTTTACCGGTATAAAAAAGTAACAAGGAAACTTCAGAGAGAACTTGATTAAGAAATGGGATCATGACCTTAATGGAAATTCAGGCTAGAAGAGCTGACATTAAATTGTTTTTGAAATCAGACCCACATAATGCTGACACAATTAAAAGCTAACAACAACAACAAAAAAACACTAATAATATGTATGTATTGTATAGATGTAATAGTGAGTTCTCATATATGACTTGTTTCTGTGCCTAAACAGTTTAGTACTATGTTATTTAGTAAGAATTGCCAGGAACTTTGGGAAAGCACAGAACAATAATGGGGAGTAATATCATGAGCTACAGTTCTGTTCTAAGAAAGCATAATATTGCCCAACAATAACAGAACATGTTCACATTTCATTTAAAATTAAATCTACAATTACCAAGAACTTACCGTTGGTTGATCTACCAACATAGAGATCAGATTCAAGTCCTTAGAGAAGGGTATTTTGTGGGCTTTCATCTCTGTTTCCCATAAATCTTTAAGCAAAAGATTCCTGAAGTTTTGATTAAAAGGTCCACAGTATGAAAGAAAACCTGTGCAGAGCAATACATCTCCCACAAGTCTAGGAAAGGAACATAACCATAGGTGATGTACAGTTCCAATTTGCATTGATTTAGATAATCAGCTTCTGCAATATGCTTTTATGAACTGAAGACTACTGAAGGAAGGAACCACTGTTTTTTGAAAACAAGAAGATTCTCTGTAATCCTAACATTTTTGCGAAAAATCACCAGAGCAGTACTGTATAAAACTGTTACCACTCCAACAAAGTGTTATAGCCTGATGATTACTGTTCATATTTTCATAGCTGAAACAAGAAATTGGCCTGACTTGTAGTCCATAATACAAGTACCTAACTGAAYTGGAATAATTCCTTTTTAAATCAATTTCAAAATCTGAGGTATTGTTCTATAGTGAAACACAAGCACTCAGTTACAATTCCTTAAGGGAGGGAAATTCAATTTTCACAATGGTTCAATTAGTTTGTGTAGATTTATTAAGATTTTTAGGAGCTATTGAAGCTATGAAACTGCTTACTAGCACTGCTTTTTTACTGATATTTTGGTAATTTCTCTGATGAATTTGATACCTGTTAATCTGAGATTTAAACTCTTTACTTTGCTGAGTCCATCTAACTTTCTCTCCACTCAATCCATCTATAAGTGCAGAGGCTGCTTGCATCTTTCTTCTGCATGTTTCTGCATCATTCAGTAAGTCCTAAAATTGGAGGAAAAAAAAGAAAAAGGAAGAGTCTCATTTCATTTAAAATGATAATGCAAAAGTCTAAAAAGTTACTAAATATATGTGTTTATCATCTTACCATACTTATTATGGTTATTTTGTTTAATTATTTATGCATTTTTATTTTAAATTTTATTTATTTAAAATATCCTCCTTGGGAGCTGCAAGTGCAGTTTTACCATATATATATAAATATTCACAGAAAAAAAAAAGGAAACCTGAGAGAATGGAGATTTACTCAACTATTTCTGTACTTGAACCTCAGAATTTTGCACTATGCAAGTATTTTTGCATAGTATAATACTTTTATCTCACCATTTTCTCCTTCATYGCTGCATCAAATTTGGCCTGCACTTTATCAAGTTCAGCTTGCTTTTCATCCAGTACTTCCTGAGCCTTTGCTAATTCTGCATTAGCTACTTTGAGGCGTCCTTCCTGTTTTGCTAAGTTAGCCTGAAAATAATTGAAAYGAATTGAATGATTGAAATAGTAATTGTGTGGAGTTTTGAATATGACAATGCATTATTTTAATACATAATTATCTGCTTCGCTGGTAACCAAAGCTAGTCAGTTATACACCAAAATATTTTATATGTTAACGCTTATATAAACACTATGASTTATTTTCTCTGTAAAATACATATCAACTTCAGTTATGATTTTTGTSCTAAATTAAACAGCAATGTAATAGTCCAGCTTCCTGACATATAGTCAGATTTCTTTCTCTATTTTTTTATTTTCTTTTTAGGAAAGATTCTGGAGACAGAATATTACTTTTCACAGTACAGCTAATCGGTCCAACTTTTTTCTCTTGTTTGTTCTGTGTTCTGTCTTCAGTCAAGAAGATGACACTATTTCTGATCTAATTGTTAGTCATTAAAGTTTACAGACTGAATAAATTTATTCCAATACATATTTTTACATCTCCTTCATTAATTATATTAAAAAAAAATCACAAAGTGAAAGATGATGCTTTACCTTAAGGGGCAATACTTCTCTGTTAACACCATAAAATATCGCCATTGCCTGTGTCCATGAGAGGAGTCCTGCCACATTCCCACATACTTTTTTACTACACTCCAGTGTGTAGTCCTCCATGTTAAAATAGGGCTGGAGGAATTCTACTGTCTCTTCATTGATTGTATCCTTAGGAAACTGTTGGAGACTCTGCAAAAATGGGCCACTCATAATCTGCAAAAAGCAACATCAAGATGTTTAAGAGGTGCTCATTTTACATTTAGAAGGTCTTTCAGAGTTTAATTTGTTGAAAAAAAAGATCTGCCTTGAAAGGTGATACAGTTRAATCTTACAAGGGCTTGCAATCTCCTAATTACTCCTATGTCTTGAATATACCTTAATGATTTAAAAGTTTTAAGAAATTACTTTCCAGTAACTAGACAGGTTAGTCCACCTTCCTGCCCTGCTAATCTTGGAAGTAGTGTTTCCTAAAAATTTGAAAAATACAGCTTCAGTAATATATATGTATTATATCTAGTGAATGCAAAGAAAATTGCTTGCCCGTTTGTGAAATGGGATCTAAATCACTCTGGAAAGGGAAATTGCTGGTTTTAACATTTTTCTTCTAAATCTTTAACATGTATAGGCAAGTCATGGAATAATTGCTTACTCTTTTCTGTTATGTCCATTGAAAATGAATAGTTTTGGTGCTTTATTAATTCCTGGACAATCTTAAATACAGGAGTTCTATTCGTATCCAAGATATATTTTTTCATCTCCACGATGAAAAAAAAAAGAGGCAAAAATATCAGCAAATTAATATGCTAGTTGAAGTAGTATAGAATGCCGGGAAATGTTATGGGAAGAATCCTAGGAGAAGAACGAACTCTAGAGGGAAGAGGTGGCTGTTTCCCTGAGTAATTTGTGCCAGGAATGCTGAAATGCGAATGACAAAACTATTGTCTCCTTGTCAATCGAGTAATTATTCAAGCAATCAGAGAGTCTGTAAGAAATGGAAAGGATTATTTAAATGGGAACTTGCAACTCCCCAGACACAAAGATGTTTCAGAATAGACTGTATTCAAGTTATGGGAGGAATACATATAACAGGAGACAGTCACATTTTAGGAGCCCCTAGGAAGAAAATACTATAGCCATTAAGAATTATTTTCAGGTCATTAGTGTGATTTATTTATTTGTTGCCAAGTCATACAAAACTAGACAAGGAAAATATAAAGCTCCTACTGCAAAAGTCTCTGAGCAATTCACYTACTAATTGCTTCCAAATAAACTTTATATTCCATCTCTATCTTAAAATTATATATTTGACTTTTTACGAGTGTTGCCCTTTTTAGAGTAAACAACATCATAATATTCTGATTTGTAAATTCCTAATTCTATTGTTTAAGAAACAATGAAAATTCTGCTTACTTTCAATGACTCCCCCCATGATGGCTTGCAGCAAGGCTTTTCTGGATCCATGGTAACTGGATCTACTTGCTTTTGAAATAGTAACAGACAGCAGTCCATGATCCTCATAATTAGATGGGGAGGTTTTGCAAGTTTTCTAACAGTAGCTATATCCGCTGGTCTGATGGTCTATTTGAAGAAAAAYATAGAACACGGCCTCAATACCACTTGTTATATTTTCCCATTCAATGTCCTAATATTAGYGGTCTTTTACTAGAAACTTATTTAAATGAAAAAATATGTTAATGTAAAAGAAATGAGTAATTGGGCTTACTTTACTGAATGTCACATGAGACTACAGTATTTTTAATAAGCATGTTTTAGACAAGACTCTTTTCCCAGAGTGCCATTCTTTGGTGATGCCAGAGTTCTCTACTTTATAATTATCCACAGAGAAAAAATGAAATTAAATTATAAAGTGCAGCAATGCTTCAAAATTTCTTAATTATGATTCTGATGCCCCCGAGTTCCCCCAACTTGCTTCCTCTTTCCTGCAGATTTAAAGATTTTTGTATGAGGAGACTGCCTTTTATTCCTCTTGGATAAGAGAAAGGTACAACCAGTTAACTTTGAAGAAATGGAATTCTTTTCCCACAAAGAAGCATTCTTTCGAATTCAGAGTAATAAGATATTCTAAATTATAAACCCATATGTAACTTTTGGAAATATTTGCACCTGTCTCTTTATAATCATCAAGTAGAAAGGTAGAAGGAGTTTCAAGACAAATGTTATAAAACAACATCTCTGAACATAAAATAACATTTGTTATTTGTTATTTGAAAGCAAATCRTGATAAAAACATTTATCAGAGATGTGATCATACACTGTGAACTGCTAGTGAGAGCAGTCAAAACCAAGTGAGAACCACATGCTCATGGCATTATCCTTTGTTTCTCTGGTGACTCACTTAATACTAAACTAATCAAAATGTAAAAACTTTATTCACATTCAGTGCAGCCTCCGCTTCTTCCAACGCTGGCCTAGCTGCTTCCAATTTACTCTCTGCTATCACTTTTTCGGAATCAATTTCATCTACAATTTTTTGTGCTTTATCTTTCACACCTTGCACTTCATTTTTTACTTTAGCTGCAGCTTCAGCACTGACTGTGACTTCTGCTAGTACCTGAAATTGACAATAAACACACACAGTATAAAGTGGTAGAACAAGTGATTAAGCTACCCAATAGAACAGAACACAGATATATGAAGGCTATTATATGGAAATACATAATGCTAGCCCTAGCTACACGTGGCATTATATAATTACAGAATCCAAATTAATATTTTTTTTCCAAAGAAATATTGGACTTGTGTCTTAGCATAAGACTGATTTTTTTTTTAATATATAAATGAAAAAAAAATCTTTGCGGGAGCTTTTTATTGAAAGTTCTTATCCTGTAATAGATGCTTATCCTATTTGAGTCTCTATAATCTACCTAAAAACAGTCCCTTGTGAATCCACAGAAATAAGTTACTGGTTTGTGTCTTTGGCCCTAAAGCACATCCATGTTTAATTCTACTGTGCATGTTTGACATAGAACTGCTATCAGAATGTGTCTGATCAATACCAGCTATAGAGTCTAGACCAGCACTGCTTATSCATTAAGAGCACAAATAATGCACTCCAATACCTATGAGAATATATGATGGATAAAGAACATGTATATCTTGATGCTATCTGCTGACATTTGCTGTTTAGCATATATAACGCTCCTTACTTTGTCTGCTTTTACAGAAGCCAAAGCCAGCTCTTTCTCCTTAACGGCCAACTCCTGAGAGAGTTTAGCAACAGATTCACTGGCCTCCATCAACTTAGACAGACCTATTAAATAAAAAATAAAAAATAAATCAGAAAAAATGAACTTTTTTGCTATTTAATAAAATCTAACTCCATATCACTAAGTTCCTGTACCTTTTGTTCTCATTTAAATTTATGCAAAGTAGAATAAGTGAATATTAGGCAGTCATGCTACACCATGGTGGTTTTACATTCACTCTTCATATATATAAATAATTTCATGAGGTGCAAAATAGTTATAAGCAAGACTGATCCTTTCCAAGCTAAATCCAAGCTCCCTTTTAGCATCATAATCTATAACTAAAAGTGCATAGCTGGGGCTTGAACTGGGGAAAAAAATATTCTTCAGAGAATAAAAAAAAGAAAAAAGAAGAAAGAGAAAAGAAAGAATGAAATATTTCCACTGTCATTTTTTTCTGTATTTCTTAAATTTTAAGTTACCAAGTATCATAACAGTTATCTTTAGAGGATATCTTGTGTCATAAAATCACGAGACAATGGAATATCTGTATGGAAGGATAAAAGCATTTATATCATGGCATTAAGACATGAGATAATCATTAGCATCCATAATTAATCCATGGTTATGTATTTGTAGAAGTCTAAGTAACGCTTTTGAAAAGATCAGTCACAGGAGTATCTTTCACACAGAATTTGTCCTTGAAAAGTAATAGAATAAAAAGTGAGATGACCAGTCAAATGCATTCATTGTCATAATTATCACTGGAAAAGCCTTCAACAAATTCTTAAGAGACTAGTCATGATGAGAATAGGAAAAAAAAAAAGAAAAAGAAAAAAAACCTCCCATATCATGACATACATGATCAGGTATTTGAGAAGGGACCTTGTATTCTAAACTTTTAGATCAGTATTCTCTGGTAAGTCTGTAGTGCCATGAAATCAAGCCCACACCTGCTGCAAACRTGCCACAGGACACTGAGGTTCCTGTTTTTTTCCACTTTTGGTGTTGATATTCTACACCAGACAGCTTTTAACATCTTATGCATCACTCTTGGAGTTGGAAAGGGCACCTTTCACATCTCAAAGCACTTCTCACAGGAGCTTTGCATTACGTGGTCTGGGCACCTGATCCTACAAAATGGCTCAAAAGGGACAGTTTCCATCAAGGCCTGAACCACCCTGCTTTGTCTAAGAAAAGCAACCAGAACAAAAGCTTGGGCCGTGTTTTCCATAGACTTCTTGTTTCAAAGGCCCAGAATCCAGGAAACTAGAAGTATCACACTGAKATGCATTAAAGATGCAATAATGAGAACTTTCAGGACTTTATTCCTTTCTCAAGCAGGACTGATGACAACTTCCAATTCCCAGAACTGGCAATGATACCTACATAGAAATCTACAAAATGTGAGAATTAGTCTTGTTTCTCTGAATAATGCATGTTTCACTGGATAACTTGTTCCTGGCCCCAGAGTTTGTAAATGTCAAATCCTACTGCTTAAGCAAAAACATCTTCCACACATAGCCACTAATAATGCATTCTTTATTTTCTAGGTGAACAGTTTTAGATACCAAGAGCTGATTTACAAAAGTGCATCTAGATGCAGATTGGAAAAAAACGCAATTGTGTTCTGAACCCACCAGGCACTAACATGATTCTAAAAAAAATATATATATATATATATTTTTTATATATATATATACACACACACATTGTTTGAAGCCAAGATCCAAAATTAGACTCTTCTAATAACTAATAGAAGTCAATTAAAATCTATCTTTAATAGAAGGAATGCTGARATGAATGAATAAGATGGCTTTAAAGCTATGAAACATTTTTGTAAGAAGGCACTTGTAAGTTCRTTGGCTGGAGTGCACCAAAGCATTTAAGACTAWACATGGCAATACATGTTTTACCTACCAATTTGCATACGTTCAGCTTGTTCATTAATATTTGCTAACTTTTCAGTATAAACATCCTTGTAGCCATTGATGAAAGAGAGATAAGATTTAGGTGTCACATGAGCTCTTCTTCGATACCTGAATCATGGAATTTTGACAACATTATAAGTTAATATGTATCTTTGCTTTTCTACAGCAATTTGGTTGCTTCCAATAAAGCAGAAGATTATATAAAACAAACATTTAATTCAGGCAAAATCCATTTTCTTCATAATGAAGAAATATCTTGCTTCCTGTTTTGTGTCTACATAAGCAAGGTTAAAGATTTCTGAACAGCTGGAATAAAGATATTGAATTTGCAAMATAAAAGCTATTAATTTTCATTGTCTTTAATATAGTAGATTCATATTTGTATTTGCATGACATTTAATTCAAATAACACAATCAGCGGAAAAAATATGTATAGTAGCAATACTTTTAGTATTAATGATTATATTRGTATAAGATATTACCTTTGGAAGTAATTCTCGCAGCTTTCTGAAACAATATCATGAAAGAGACCCATGGTTTCTACTATTTCTGTTTTAACTGATGCAGAACAAACCATATTAAATTCCGACAGAAAGTAACTGGCCACAGCAACAAGAGCTTCCTTAGGCCATCGACTGAACCAGTCCATGGTGCAACCTGATATGAGGCCAGGAAATTTCAAAGAACGTGCACGAAATTTCTCACCAACCTATAGAGAATAATATTGTTAATGCACAATAAGGTTCCCACATTAGGCTGATCAAAATGTTTAACATATATAAGATTTTTTTTTTGCTTAGAAAACCTGCATTTCTTTTTCTCTCCAAGAAAGAATATTATTTTGAACATATGATACTTTACAAAATTTAAATAAAGAAGCTCATGGCAAAGATGCATTCTTTCAGATATTTTGAAGTTTCATTAAACTTATATAAAATCTCTATAAAATTTTCTCTAAGCAACAAACAGAGATTTGACAAAGCTGTGTTAACTGATTTGTATTAGGAGAGAATACTCAACTCCATTGCAGGATAAAAAAATGAAAATAAATTTAACATGTAAAGAATCATTCAATTTAAGTTAATTTTGTAAATAAAARCAAGATAGATATTAAAAAAATAATAAATACAACTTACCGGAGAAAAGCAGAGGACAACATGCAAGTTCTTCTTTGCCCGAGTTATAAAATACTCATAAAGATTATCAAAAGTTGGAGGACATCGAGGCATCTCTTTTTTCATTAGAGGTATCAGTCCTTGAGTGATTTCATCTAACTCATCCCGAGCAAATAAATTMGCAATCTTTATATAAAAATAAGAATTGACAAGAAAGTAAACCACATGGATTTAATTATTATACTGTTTATAATTATTTGCCATCTTACATTTGTATACCCCTCCCTGCATATATGCAGTTTAGATGGATTAAAAAGCAAATCTATCCCTCTTTTGCCCTTGCTTGCTCAGACTGGTAGGGCAGAGTATAGCTCTCATTTATTCTTATTAAATGAACTCTCTTTTAATTAATAAGGCTTCTGAAATACCCACCACAGCTATTTTCTTATCCTCTCCCATCTCATATTGAAACATCATATASAGATCGGTCTTGCATTCCTTATCTTAAAAAAATATATATTTTAGGATATTTTAGAGAAATATTTTGGAGTTAAACATTATTCATTCTGTATTTTATTACAGAAATTAGAGAAATGAATTAGAACAAACAAAACACGAAACAGTAAGAAAACATGCTGCAGTTTCATTCTTCTGAAATATCTCRTCCCTCATTTTGAGGATCTTACCTCGCCTGAAGATAGAAGATTGTTAAGGTATTCCAAAAATGATTCCTCTTTTATTTCATTATCAGTGAAAATAAAAGTGATGCCTTTTCCTTCTGCTCCAGCTGTTCTATACAGTAATTTTAAATCATCTGTGAGATTGCTTACATTATAGGATCTAGGAAGAATAAGAAACATCAAAACAGTGCAGAATTACTGCTATTTCCACACTTGATCATTTTATTAATAGTATTGCAAGTATCATTTGTAAAGATACATTTTGGCTAAGCAATAGCTAACGCATAGTCCAACTTTTGAGCTCAATTTTATTCCAATTTTGCATATGAACCTGTTGCATATGAACAAAATATGTTTTTTTTTTCTTTTTTGCATTTTAAAATGGTGATAAGATACAAATAGAATGACTTTAAACATACAAATAGAATGACTTTAAACTTTACACAGTCAGATTCTGACTGTGTAAAAGCAAGTAATATATAAAATCAATGGTATCAATAGTATCAATGGTATTTATATACTTCTTGTATTTCTTACCTGGTTAAAGTGATCTGAAATATTTTATACCCTGCAATAAAGGTGGCCAACCTTGAAAGACTTTGTTTTCCAGAACCACCAACTCCAACTAGTAAGGCATTTCCACATGCTGTCCGAATTATCCGGGAAATCTATATAGAAGGAAAAAATACCAGAAAAGTGCATAAGATGATTACTAGATTGACTGATTCCAATTTAGGATGAATTTGGCCCTTATATTTTTGTTTCTAAATAGGGCTTTAATTGAATCAAAACTGAGACTTACTACTGTCCTGTATTATTTGTCAATAAAATTGGTGGCATTAACATATATTTCTTCATGTCTCTCATCTTGCTAGATGCTACATAATATTGTTGTGGTCACTTGTCACACAAGGATTTCATGTGACGACCCCTTTTCTATGGGTTACTAAGCTAGATGATCAATTAGTGATGAAAACTAATTACATATACTAAGTACAAATGCGGCTCTTCCTGCCCTCCCCCTTCCTAATGAGGAAAATTCCCATACCCCTGAAAACATATGAGCTTAAATTAATAAACAAAACAAATTATTTATCATAAAATATGAAAATAAGTGAATGAAGTTCTTCCTAGTTCTTGATAATAACTAAAAAAAAGCCGGCAAATGAATTTGGAGACAAGAGTGGATTTGCAGAAGGCATCCTATACACACAGCTTGCCAGAATCAGGAAACTCTCCCTCAGCAACCATACCAGTAAGAAAAGCAACAATCTCCAAACCTTAACAAGATGTGTCATTGCGTCTTTAAAAAACACCAAATCAAGAAAAGATCCTCTAATACATTCATTGTATTGTCTCTGATACATTTGCAGTTTTTCACAAAGAAATTCAAAGCTTGGGATCTGAAAAAATGAAATAAAAACCAGAATAGCATTACAACCCTTCAGAATTTAAAACTACACTGATATTTTTCCATGTTATTTTGAGTACATTTATTGGTCATGCAAAGATAATTCCTTTTAGTAATTGTATCTACACAACCAAAATTTGTTGAAAAGGATGGAAAATTCAGGAGTGAAGTAAAAAAATGGTATTTCTTTGGCATTGTCAACTGTTCACAAAAGGGAGGAAACTGCTTTAAAAAAAATCTGTGTGATATGACATCAGACATATAACAATTACTAAAGGAAAATTCCAACACAAGTATTTCAGATTTAAAATGTAATACCTCCTCATAGATTTTTGGTGGTTCAAATACAAAATCTTCTGGTTCTTCACCAGTTGGTTCAGGCATCTCCCGCAAAAAGTCTACAAAATACGGTTCAGCTTGAACAACTTCTGCTAGGCCTGTATCCACATATTCCTCAATTGCTTTAATAATAGTTTTGTCAAACCAAGCTCTATCTTCCTCAGTAATAAATCTAAAAATCAAAGAATAGTGTAATTTTTAAAAAGTGTATTTCTAGTTAGAAACAGTTGGAAAATCACATAATTAAAAATTTTACAGAATAAATAAATAAATCTTTACTTCTCCTCCTTCACAGTGCTGCAAAATGTGAAACTAGGATAGACATATAAAAATGCTGTACATAATGGTCTGCTTTTCCAAACAAGAAAAAGCTACAAACTGTAATTCACTGAAGTGTAGAGACAGCCTGTGTATGCAACATCTTACTTACTTTATTAGTATTAGCAGTGTAAGTTGGTCTCGGTAGTAAATTATATTATATCACTAAGCACTACTAAATATAAAAGCATGGTAGAAGAAGAACCTGCATGACAAACACATATATACACTTTCTAAATTCATCAATATACAGAAAATGTAAAAATATTTAAGTAAATTACAGTGACACTGCTCCTAACCTCAAAACACACTCTCTGTAAAGAAAACAATACACTTTTAAATCAATGGCTTTGACTTTAACTTGAAATTAAACATAAATATCATCTCTCTTTTTGTAACACCAGGACTCTATTGCTATGCGCATATATCAAAATCAGTTAATTTGTTACATTTATAGAGTACAATAATTTAAGCATATGGCAGTGCTGCTAGTACTTGTTGTAAAATTTGATTTTTTTCCTATTTTTCAAAATTGATTTTAAGTTTATTTAATTTCCAACATTCTTTTTCTGTACTCAAATTATGTATCTAACGATAGAGGAGAAAGTGACCTAAAGTTTTTTAGTCTTTCTTCTGACATTTTTGACTGAAGCTTGTGAATGCAAATTAAAATGCACCTCTCTAGGGAAAAGGAGAAGGTGGCTGCTAGCCAATTCCGAGCCCTCATGGAAGGAAATGAGAGATCCTAGAAGATAGACAGGGACGGGAAAAAAAGCTGGTTGACAATACCCTATGATGGTTTGGAAGTGTTTTTACCGTTCATCTAAAATGGATGGCAGCTGTCTCACTCATTAATTCCATCAGTGTTTCATTCAGCGCCTAGCTTTAAGTATCTTATTGTTGTGTTTGTTTTAACAAAATGTATGCTGAAGTCCACATGCKAAGTTATATTTAAGGAAGGGTTCATCTGAGTTGTTTTCCTTATGCTGACAGCTTGCTGGAATAATGTGATTAAAACTGTCTATACTCGAATAAAAATTTTGTTTAATACTGTGCTAAATCATTTGGATCAGATGCTGTATGTGTACACAGCTTCTTACAACAAATCATATTTCAGATATGTGCCACTATAGCAAACGCATTACAAATTCCAAGTCATGGCAGGTAACTCCTAAATAYTTGCCACTCCAAGGCCTTTAAGTTTAATTAAAAGCAATAAAATATGTGCTGTTACAGCAAAATGTTTTATATTGCTTTCATTTTGTGATATTTTCATAAAGTAAATAAAACTTAATAAAATACTTATAACATTGTTATTAATATGTAATAATAAAATATATGCATATTTTTAATAGTCAACATTTATTTCATATCCATACATTAATTCTATGGAGAGAGAAAAAAAAACAGAAAAAAAAAAGAAGATGCTTCTCTAGAATATCACAATAAGAAAAAATTATAGTAGTTGAGATTCACAGCAGTGATGGTTACACATTGAATTTTTACTGGCAACTAAATACTGTAAGTGGAACTTCACATGAAATTCAAACATTTTTGGGGGCACCACACTCAGGACACTATTTTTAATTATTTTTTATTATTATTATTATTTTTTAGAATTATCTCACTGTAGCCAAAATTAGCATACGTTAGATTACTGAATAGGTTCTGAATATGAAACTGGTCTAATCCATCAGTACATAACATGACATTTGTTGGGACAGAATCAAAAGACAAAATGCACATAAAAGAAAAATACATATGTGTCTTTCCTCCTGGCCTAATAATGTTTATCTTGTTAAGAAATCTGAGGGATGTGTGAGCATAAACAAAGTGAATGGCTAAATCCAGTAAGTATTGCAAAATGATACAGTTATTGTACCTGTCAGCAATTACTCTAGTACATTCATGCTTAAAAAGTGTTGTAAGGACATTGATGTCACTGCATTCTTCTGCCTTTATAGTGATCATTCCTTGCCAAATTCTAGAAAGGTCTCGAAGGTTGAAGATATAGTGAAATTTAGATGGTGTAGGCAGCATCTTTGTCTAAAAAAAAAAATGTTATTGTTTCAAATCAGTAACAATCAGAAGGAAAACGAATAACATAAAATAAAAATTTATAAATATTAATAGAGATATAAGAAATAAAAATAACAAAAATACTATTTGCCATACATCCCATTYTTGAAAAATGCCTTCCAAGAAGTCGACATTAAGAATATCTGATTTGGCTGGAAATATGATTTAGCACTGTATGTGAAATCTCATTTCCTGGAACATTTCATTAGTTTATATGTTGCTCTGTTTTATTAATTACAACTATTAAATTATGATGAATTTTACTCCCAGTTGTTAGACAACATTGAATGCAGCGTAAGTAGTAAAAATAAAGCTATAGGAATGCCTGAATCAATATATCCATTCAACTGTTTTATAAATTTTAATCTGAAATATTCCAGATAATCTCTCCAGACATCTCTTTAGCCCATTTTTTTCTTGTTCTCTTCACAATACGAGATACAATCTTAAAGAATATCTGTCCAAATTACACTAGCAAACATTTGGTTCAAATWGATTACGATAAATCTTTCTATGCAATTGGTACCTTTGTCCACTGCCATAATATTCTGCCTGCTGGAACCAATTTTTTCACCATATCACATACTTCAGAACTGAATTTTCTACATGGATGAAAGTATCCACAGCCAATAACACCTAAAATACAAAATGCAACGTCCAGTTAATCTAAAGGTGTCAGAAATTATTAGTTATGAATAAGATTAAGTATTTATTTAAAAATTAATTTGGTTTTAAATTATCAATGAGGTAAATCTATCACTATTGTCATTGGCTTTTCTGAACAAAGACTAATATAGAAACAGCTGGGAACAATTCACAGATTGTAATAAAATGCTGTTTTGACAAAATTACATCCAAAATCAGAAATCAAAACAGAGATTTGTCTTACATAACAATATTTTTGCTGAAATACGGCTCCAGCTGTTTCACTGGAAGTACTCTGAATTTGTATGAGAAGAGAAAGCTGTGTGAAAGAGAACAGTTTTACATATTTTGAAACAATTAATAAAAAAATATAAAAATAAGAGGAAAAACAAGTACCAAAAATTTTGTCTATGGATGTATTGGAGGGCAATGTACAATTGAATACAGAAAATTGTCTTTTTAAACGCTGGGGAATGTCATTACGGCCTCCTCCRGGATGAATCATTGCTGCTACTAATTGCACATCTACAATTGTTGTGAAGTCCCCAGGTTTATCCAAGCTATACATTCCTTCCATTTCCATCATCTGACGAACAATTTCATTTGTTACCTGTGAGTTAGTGAACAAATAGGAATCAGAAATTCGAACAAACAAACAAAAAGYTGTCACATATACGGTCAATACACTGTCAAATTAATTTCTCATTATTATTTCCCAGCTTTATCCACTAATTCCTAGAATTAGGTTTTTATTTTGGTTCGAAATAATATCTTCCCTAGTCATATGGGTGAGTTTGGACCACACGCTTTTATTAAACAGCATAAAAATTCTTTCAGATGTATTAACTACAATATAATCTATATAATACCAAAAATTGTGATAGCATTCCCTTTAATCAAAAAGACTTGCCTTCTGTAAGGAAAAAAGTAAATAAATAGAGGGAAAAAACCCTTTTGTTCCATTATTTGCTGCTAGACACTCAGTTTTAGAGTGTTTATAATTCTCTCTTGGGCTGCCATCAAACCTAAAGAGCTAGTTCTTTTTAAAAAAGAAATCTGCTCCTTCTGGCAAAGTAACTCTCTCCACATGTTTGTAAGGATGGGGAGGCATGAGGGTTTTCCCCCATAGCAACTGCTCCACCAATATTCAGCAAGTCTTACATATTCATATACTATAACTCCCCAAAAGCTATGACATGCAGCAGGGCACAGGCCGCAAACCACCAATCTCATATGTAATATTTTAGCACTGTCTTGTTGCCGTTCWAATGGACCTTTCTTTCATATTATTGGACACTGTCTGGTTCCAGAAGGACTTTGCCTTAAACAGAGCCACACAGTCAAGCAGTTCAGGTCGGGGCTTATTYAGTGATAGTTTCAATTTTTATACATTTTTTAAAAAGTTAAAGAGCTTTTTATGTTGCAGCAAATGAAGAAAAATCAAGATAAAAAAATGTAATGGGAGGTGTACRCACACTTAAGCCCTATCTATCCTATATTGAGGAAATCCAATGATTCCCATAAGAAAAACAAACCATACTAATACTTTGAAGTAAGTTAAATGTTTATTTACCTGATCTCCCCATTCATTAACAACTGGCATATTGATATCATCAATAAACACAGTCATTTTTCTGCCTCCAGGTGGTCCATAAGTACTTCCAATGCGTTTGTCCACATAACTCTCTATTGTCCTCTAAAAAAATGAAAGGAAGTTCATTCTTGTATCCAAAGCAACAATATTAAAAGCATACTATTAGAAAAATGGGTTACTGCTTTCTACTCCAACAGTCTCCCTATCATTTTTTTTTTCATATTAGCAGTTTTACCTCAGATTATTACTAAATGTTTTCCTATTTATGGCACTCTTTACAAGATTCCCAATATTTAGGGCTACTAACTAAAAATCTATCTGTAGTTGTCGTTGGTATTTAAATGGAATTTGATGGAATGGAATGAAAATGGAATAAAACTGTAAATCTGTAAACTCTAAATCTGTATGAAGCTGCTATGCCATATTACTTAAAACATTGCCTTAATGTTCCAGTGATTTCTGAGTTGAAGCAGAAAGGAAGGACCTAGGAGTTGAAATCTGTTTTTTATTTTACAAAAATAAATTTTAAAAAAGCTGTAATTATATTTTACAATTAAAAGTATATAAAAATTAGACAGTCATGAAAAAATGATCAAGTCAGATATTCTCTAAGCAAAAATTTTCATTAAAATGTCAAGGAAAGGCTTACAACAACAGAATGGAGTCCGATTTCTATAAGGAAAAAATATATATTAGTTTAAAAGAATGAATATTCTCATCTGCAAAAATGATTTAATATGAGATTTACTAAAATGTTTTAGTGACTTAAAGGAAAAAGATTCTCTAAAGGTTCTCTAAATTGCTTTCTATTGTCAAATAACTTCAGAACTTTAAAAAATAATTTTTTACCATCAGAATGAGTATATTTTTAACACACAAGAAAAACGTGCAAGAACAACCTAAAACTCGTATTTTACCTGAAACATAAATGGTTCGGTGGCAGATGAAAAGTTTAAACATTTTGATAAATGTTCTTCTGGGTCATATTTCTTCACATATGCCTTTATCATGACTGTCTTCGCAGTTCCCTGTTCTCCTGTGAGCAAAACTGCCTGAAATAGACATTTAAATCAGATAGGCATTATCAAAACTGCTGATTAAATTTATAAAAGAGATATTGTAGAAAAAGGGACATTTTTAGTGTCTAATTTTGAACAACACATTATTTTGGTAATTTTCTCTGTCTCCATAAGCATTGACCCAGTATGTGTTTTTCATCCCATCCAAATTCTCCAACAGAAATCAGTTAAGGAAGAAGTGAGAAGGGACATGCAGTCCAAATAAAAAGGAACAAGTGAGRAAGTACAGGAGGTTCTTTTTCTACTCTTTGAAGATTCTGTTTTTCGTCTTCTAGTCTTAGCCTTAGTTCTTTCTAAAACCGAAAGTTGCTGAATCAAAGGATGAATACTCTTCTTCTTYGTTTTGCTTTTAAGCCTTTTATAGAAATGTTCCATTTCATCTCATGTGGGGAGCTGGGTACAGACCCTGCTTCTTTTTTTCAGAGATACGGAACCCTTTATGGGTTACTTTCCAACTCAAACTTTTATACTGCTTAGATTTTTATTGGATGGCATTCTCTTCAGCAATATATCCACTCCATGAAAGAAATTTAATCAGCTTATAAAAGAGCTGATCTATTTACTTATGATTGTGGACACTGAATTTGACATTGCAATGGATTCTTACCAGTACTGTATCTGAAATGTTCAAATACATTTGAAAAAACATATAATGATAAATCCCCTGCAAGAACATAAAAGTGGACCTGTAAAAGACCTGTAAAATACCACTCAGGTTTCATCAAGTACRTGCAAATCAGCTGTAATGAAAGTTCATCCTACCACAATCTGAGAAAAGGTAGAAGGAAAATAAAGATGTATCTCTATCACAACTCAATATGTGATTAAGTTAAACCTCAGGAAAAAAAAAAAAARAAAGAAAGTTTCAAAACAAAGCAAGCCACCTACAAGAGCTGCAGCCGAGAGGTGGATATAAACCACATATCAACAGAAACACTGGACTGAGGAAAATGCCAGGTTGCATAAACCCCACTTTGATTGACATGAGGGTTTGTTATCTGTTTGGCAATGACTTGCCAACATTGAGGAATGTACCTCAAAAAATATCTGAACCTAAAAGCATCTCCCAGAATATCAGCATACAAAACTTTATTTTTCGTTTCCAACTATTACCAAGTTTTGCATGTTTTTATGATTTGTGTCAGATATATCAAAGTAACAGCCACATTTGCTTTGTTGCAGTTTCATCAAACCTAGCGAACAAAATTTCCATCCAAATCACAGGACTTCACAGAAAAGTCAGGTTCCAGCATTGTCTCAAACACTGTAGGTATTTCTAACATCCTCTGCAAACACTCAGGAGGACTCCTGATTCATAGACCAGCACAGGTTTCCATAGCAAGTTGCTGAAGTTGCTAATAGCATTGCACTAAAGCAAAACGTGTATTTTTCAGATCTTTCACTCAGTCAATAGGCCAATAAACATGTATCTTTTAATAACTTGTTTAAAGTGACCAGCGTCAAGAGCCATGMTAACAGGTTGTTCCATGCTCCTATGCTGTTAAGAAGCATCTGCTCCCTTTCCATAGTCATAGAATGCTTAAGGTTGGAAGGGACCTCCAGAGGTCAGCTAGTCCAACCTCCACAAACAGGGTCATGGCTATATGAAGAATACGAAGAGTGCCTACAAACTCTATTATTTATAAACAGCATTCTATGATTCTATGAAATAGGTTTCTACCCATCTCATATAGTAGACATATAAGTAATTAAGTAAACCTGTACATACTTTGTGTTGCTTTGCAATTGTGTCTATCAAAAACTGAGTTCTGACATTGTCAACATTTGGAACCAGAATAGATGCATAGTCTGGGACACTATCTGTTGGATAAACATACTCCTGAACTCGTTTACTCCAGTGCTCCCAGTCACCTGAA